ATTTGTTGGATTACCTGACTGGCACTTCTTTACTATTTGTGCTGCCTTGTCTAGGAGCATTCAGCTTCAGCTTTGAACCAACTTCACTGAGTGCTATGCAATGATAATCCTTGAGGAAGATCTTACAGTAGTAGTAGAGGAGAAAGAGGTGGAGGACACGCCCCTGCACTGGATTACAACATGATGATAGACAGTGACTAAGTGAAAGAATTAACTGCTTTCCTAAAGTTGAGCATCCCTACAAAGTCTTGTGCTAAGTCTTCCTCTTGAGCATTCCTAACAAAAGGGTCTTTCTTATTAACAGGAATCTTCTTTCACCCCAGCAGCTATAAACAGAATAATCTATGCTAATGGAAGAAAACAAAGCTTAAAACATTCGATGGGAACGTTTATGGTGCATCGGTTAAAACTTCCATTTCAACCTTTTTACTGTGTGTATAATGCCAATTCCCATAGTGCTCAGAGACCTGAATTAATTTACACAAAATAAAGAATGAAAATTATTCATTGCAACTATATTCCCTGCTTTGATGCTGAATCTTTTAGAAATGCTTGAGTAAACACCGCAAAAACAATTAGATAATATGTTATAAATGTATCCAGCTTCTAACACAGAAGTGGTCTACCTGATCTCTTTTAAATTGTTCTTCTGGTATTTAAACTTCGACTTCAAGATTTAAATTTTGCAGTCAGCTTCAGCATTAAAAATGACTGCAACAATTAAGTACTTCCCAGTACGTGCTGTGAATTAAGATAGTCCATCTTTTCAAATTCCCACTGTATCATGCAAAAAGTATATAGTGTCCAGCCAGCATTAACCAGCGTGAGCTACCTCAGTGTCTGTAGAGTTACACCTGTTTTCAAAAGTTCTAAAGATGCTCCAGTGAAGGAAGACCAGTTTCAAGTTGCCTTACAGATTTCCCCTACACAAATTCTGGTTTATAAACATCTTCATCACACTTACCTCTGCAAAGGGTCCCAAGAGCAAATCCATTTTGATAATTGAGTCCTATTATTTGGGACTTTTTTCCTGTTTTAGTTTGGATGGAGGAAGGCATCTACTACTTGGGTGAAGTGAGAGAATTGAGATAATTCCTGGCTAAAAATATGATGGAAGACCCTGAAGGCTGGATCTAATAGTCTCACATCTTGGCCTGAAGTAGAAATCTATCAGCTCCTTATTCCTTCCCCATTCCACCCATCTACTTCACTCCACGAGTACCTGCTGAGGGTGAAGATACAGGAGACCTCCAGGAATGCTCAAGTTCTACAACTACTCCGTATTTTTATGCTTCTCACCCATCACCTCCTTGATGTCCCTTTATTCTGTCGGTGCAGATGGTGTCCCAAAGGCAGTCCTGTCTGAAGGAAGAGACTGGAGCGCACCTGCTGCATTGGAACATAACTGCTAGGAAGGCTGTGGGATCTCGTACTGGAGGTTTTAAGAGCAGGTTAAATATCCGGTTGGCATGGCAAAGAGTATTACTTTGGTGATCAACTAATGAGATGAGTGTTCTGCTTTTGGAGATGAGCTCATTCACCATTCCTCTTGCTGCCCCAGCCCAGGTAGCTGCTGAATTGATGGGAAGCTTAGTCCTCAGTTGTGCTGAAGTAGGAAGGGGAAAGAACTTAATCTAGTCCCTATTTTTCCAAATCTATCCCAACACAACTGAGAACGGAGGAGAACTCAGCCAAGAACTCCCTTTCACTTTGAAGAGCTATTCCAGCCTTGTTTTCTCCAGTTCTGTCACATATGAACCAATCCTTCTTTCTTGGCTGTGCGATGACAAATAAGCCAGTAAACTTGTCATTTAGCACCTAAATAATAAAAAGTGAAGACCAGCTTATGGGAGAGGACTTGATTTTTGTTGGCATGCTGACTGAATCGTGATGAGTCATTGAGATAGCTCCTAAAGATCTAAGTCAAGGATGGTTCCTCAAGGTCTAAATGTAGGTGGTCTTGAAAGCGTAAGCCATGCTGTCTTTGCAACACAAACCAAAACAAGCACACAAACAAAAAGAAATATGCTGAGAAGGGAAAATGAGGAATTTGTGCAGAAACCAAATATACTGTAGAGCTGCATGGATGTCCAATGCAGGATCTGGAGAGATTTGCTCAGGGCACTTCACAGGGCATTGTTAAATATATCTGCACTGCTGTGAATCGCACAATCTGTGTGTTGTCATTAAAAGTAAAGGTTTGATCCATCCCTCAGATGCACACAGGCCGTTCCTGCTGACACAGCTCTCGTCATCCCTCATAATCACACCAGTAAACCAGAAATTTTCCATAGGAGGAATCCTGCAATCACTAATAACAATCAAGCTGAAGGGGTAAAAAAAAAAAAAAAAAAAAAAAAAAGTCAAAAATATTGAAACACTTTTGTTTGTTTGAAGAACATTTTTCCTTTCTTGTTGCTGATAATGCAGAAATCCAAATTGCTTTGTCCTGGCTTTTTCCTTGTTAGAGTGCTGTTATATCAGCCTCTGAGCTGGAATAAAAGCCCTTTGTAAAACTCCTGACTTGTTATTAAACAATGTGCTGGCAATGGGCAGCAGTGATCTGGCTGGATTAAATCCAAAGATGTTTTATTTGTGCAGTAGTGACCAAAGAAGAAGTACAGGAAGATAGGTATTTGTTCTGGGAAGCATCTAAGTCCCTGCTGAGTTTTGAATCCAATAAAGAAGGATGGTGCTGAAGGGAAGATAGGCTGAAGATTAAAAATGACATGTCCTTCTGCACAGGTTGCTGGATGAACGCAGCTCTAAAAAAACCAAACCTACAAACATTGGTATAACATCTTTTGCCACTAATATGGTGGTCATGAAAGCAAATTGAGGATTTGAGGAAAATTTTGTTTTCTTCTTGCCCCTAAACTTATGTCTTTCTGTTTCCCCTTTAAAACATCTGATTATTTTTCTCTCTTAGGCCTGAGGCAGTGTCCCCTTTCTTTCTTGTGATTACAGCCAGATTTCCAAAATCTTACATATTTTTTCTCCCAAAAGACTGAAACTATTTTTATTGAAGCAACATAGTCACTTCTTTTTTTTTTTTTTCTTTTTTTCCCCTAACCACTTGAGTAGATGAATGTCGACTCTCCTTTATCTGTCCCTATTCCATGCTCCTTTGAACTACCTCTTGATCTTCAGTCTGGCATGCAGGTGGTGAGACTGCTGCTGCAGACCTCTGTTAGTAAGAATGGAAGAGTTTGATTAAATGATTTGTAGAAAACTGTCAGAAGAAATGTAGAGCATCCATACAGAGCAGGTTTCGTAGAGCAGAGTGATCGGACACCTATCAGAGCAGTCTTTTCCGTCTGCCACTTAGAATAGCAGAGATTTAAATAGTGATTAAGGCGCGTGGCATTTTTTAAACTTCATCATGAATATCAGTAATTGCAGAGATGCATTTGATAGATGCAGTGGCCATTGGTGTGGAGACAGCACTCTGTCCCACCCTGTGATAGTCCATGCTAAAGTTCCCAAAGCAAGGCAGGAATGAAAACAATGGAGCTCTGTAGATAAGCACATATGCAATGAGGTGTGGCCTTCTTTGAATGCAAAACATCTGAAGTTCCTGTGCTGCCTGAAACCATCTGAAGTCTCACCAACTCAGATAAAGGACAGAAACACGTTTAGAATCATAGACTCATAGAATGGTTAGGATTGGAAGGGACCTCAAAGATCATCATTTCCTCTTGATTAACCTTAGGCCAATTTTGCTTCCCACTGCCCTTACTCGCCACCCCTCTCATCTCATACCTGTACCACTTGTTCTTCAGACTCTTTGTATAGAGCCTACCTAGCACAAAAACCAAAGTGCACAAAAAAAAAATTCCAAAGTACTCGGAATAATACCAGTAATTAAAAGTATGCCCAGAGAGCTGTGTTCTTAAAATGTGGAAGGTTTCATAAGCTGCATCTGAAAGAGTGGTGTTGCAGCCTAGCAATATGAAGGCTGGCAAGGAGTGTTATTGCTGCCTGTAAATGCATCTCTGTTGGATAAACATTAGAAACTGAAGAGCTACTGACAGTCAAGGACAACACCGGTGCAAGAAGAAATGGGTGTAGACACTCTATAGATAGGCTTGAGTGGATATTAGAGGATGATTCCCAACCCACGGAGCAGAGGGATACAGGAGCAATGTAATGGAGGGAAAGTTTAACTTGGCGTTAAACTAGAGTTTCAGGAATTTTGAAGGACTTTT